AATTATATTTATAAATTTAGTTATAATTAAACGTTTTTATCTTACCCTGGCTTCAAAAATCGATTAAAATCATTAGTAAGTGGTCTCTTCTTATGCATTTCTCGCCTTCTGTCAAAATAAACCATTGAAAGGATTGGGTCTGACAAGTATACTGCCCTGTTGAAAGTGTCCAGGATAGCGTTTTCTCTACTATTTCTTCTGGAATGTTCCCGAATTGTCTCTCTGTGTATTTTGTGCATACTTTCGAGAGCATCATCCGCATAAAATGAAACAGGGATTGGAAACTGCCGCTCAATATCAGGACCATGTTTTAAAATTTTATGTATGGAAGGCTTCATGCGAGCCCATGGATATTTTATATAGTAGAGTTTATAAGTAAAATCACTAAACTTTTTAAGCTCCTCTACTTCAATCTCCAACGCACTTATATAAACTTTAGTGATAGTAGCGAGATTGCAAACTAACTCCTCGTCAATATCTAAAGCGTTGGCAAAGTCTTTGGGTCTGTCAAGGAATTTGCGGGCGAGATTTCCATTGTTGGATGTTCCTTTGCCTTGTATTACTTGATCCACTCTGATTTTAAAAGCATTATATAATCTATCTCTCACTTGACCAGCGTACAAATCAACAGACTCTGAAATTCATAAATTGCTTATTAATTAACCTTCTAGTTATCGCCATAACAGAATAGCAGTGCCTATGTACCATACTTTCACTTCTTGTTTATAAGCAATATGAAGCAGATGGTCGAAGATTTTTATTTCACAGTGTAAAAGGCCCAAGCCATGGGATAGTGAGCCTTCCTTTGGTATGAAAACATTTTGTTATTAGACACCTTGGGCATCTTTAGAATGTTTTTCAGTGAATTTTCTGGGTATTAGACATTCACCCCTTATTTCAACCTCAAATTTAGGGGTTGATGGTATCCTAATAAACTTTTCCTTAATCTATATTAAATTTACTACAATTTAAAAAAAAATTGTATCGGTATCATGATTTTTCTTTGAGATACAGCAAAAAAACAGCAAAAGAACATCGTTTTCTTGAATTTTCTGGGTTTTAGCCACTCACCCCTTGTTTCAACCTCTAATTTGGGGGTTGATGGTATCCCAATAAAATACACCTTGCAGAAATAATTTTTGAAATTTTTTTTCGCGTCCTACGAAAACACTTTAGAATGTTTTTCAGTGAATTTACTGGGTATTAGCCATTCACCCCTTATTTCAACCCCTAATTTAGGGGTTGATGGTATCCTAATAAGCTTTCCCTTAATCTACATTAAATTTACTACAAATAAAAAAAAAACATTGTATCGGTATCATGTTTTTCCTTTGATACACAGCAAAAAGAAAAGCGAAAGGACATCGATTTCTAGAATTATCTGGTTTTCGTTATTTTAACCTCCAAATGAAGGATTGATGATATCTCAATAAATCAATACATGCGGAAGTAATTATAGGAATCGTTTTCGCCACCTATGAAAACACTTTATAAGGTTTTTTAAACTATATTTAATACTTGCGCCGGGTATCTAATGTTCGGCTCCGCCCGAACTTTGACTTTTTTACTTGTTTTAATTTAAAATTTTACTATAGTAAAGTGCAAATTTAAGGTAGCTGACACTTACCATAGATTTTTAGCAATTTTTTGTTGACGGTATTCCGCATTTTTTTCCATGTAAAAAAAAAGGTCGAATATACTTTGTATGGAAAAAATTCGTAACACCGGTATAAAAAGATTACAAAAGTCAACGGTATGTCTTAGCTACTTAAAATTTTCACCATATTTTACTAAATTTTAATGGACTACAAAACTGCATACATACCATTTTGTAAAGATGCTGACTAAAAAGTTAAAAATTTTGGTGACATTTTGCAGAATTTTCATAATTTTTGCACAAAGCCTAAAATTGAGACCTATATGGTGTTTGTTGATTAATCAGCTATATATTCATAAAAAATAACAAACATTAAATAAACTAAAAATAGCCAACACTTGCTAAATTCTCGAGACCCATTTTATATGTATTTGGGTCACTGTGTTTTATCCAAAGAAGGACGTGGCGGGGACTTTCTTTACAAAGTTTTTGTTAAATTTAAGTGCGAAGTTTTATTCGCAACACTTAGAAAATAACGAATGTGAATAAAAGAGCACAAATATCGATGTGTGCGATAGTTTGTACCAGTTTTTACCAACTATCACGTTTTGCCGTTCTAGTACCCAAAAAACTGGTAAGAAAGGGGAAATTGAGAGCGAAAAGTGACATTTCTTTTTGAGGAGAAGTTGCTAGTTTTTACTCTCGAGAGTTTCACGGTAGAGCAACTCTAGGAGATATTCACTCTAGCTAGAGACAAAATAGAGAAATCGCAACTTTTATCTATCACGTTCTCTACAAGCTGTGTACACGGTAGACAATAGTTACCTATCGCCTAGAGTTAGTTTTCTATCTCGAATTGTTGTCAACGCTTGTTGTATGTATATATGTATTTATATCAAAGCCACGATGTAGAAAATATAGTTGGCGCCATCAGCGGAGCGCTAACCCTTCGTCGATTTGACAGAATTCACCTATTTCTGACGTCATAAAATACATTTTCGCAATATGGACAAGAATTAAATTTTCAAATTGTATTTATTTGCCAAAAAAAATTTACCTAAAAGTAGACAAATGTACCTAAAAATTAAACATGGCAACCTCACCGGTACTATGTGTACTTTTGGATTCGTATCAAACAACCTTTAATATTTAAAATTCCCTTGAAAGGAGTTTCTCCGAGCAGTTCCAGCCAAACTACCATATATATGTATGTAGGTATTCACCAAGTTGAGCAAGTGGCCTGGCACTCTGACAAAACAGCAGATAACGCAAGCAACGACTGTTGCCAGAGTGCCAGACCACCTGCTCAATTTGTGAATACCCCTTATATTTTCACCAATAATTATGCCTCTTTGCAAAGGACGAAGGTTATTGGAAAAGCCATTGAAATACCAATGAAAATAAGAGGATGATTCCCGGTACCTTATTTGACTAAGTTCTAAATGCACTTAAAATGGTGTGCTTGTATCGAATATACGATTTAATGTCATAGCCATTTCAAAATTTAACAATCTGTAATGAAGTTCATTGTCAAGACTTTACTATACGTCTCCGTAGAGCAAAAAGTCAATTTAGCTTGCTAAATAGAGCGTAAGGTTGTCGTAGAGTTTTCGATCTAGCTTCGTGTGACTGTGTACACGGTGTAAACGTCTCGCATGGACTTTGTGGATGAGTCTCTCGTAGAGCTCTATTGAGTGTTTACACATCTCTAGCGAGATTTTTGTCTAAATCTCGCGTTTTTTCTCTACGGTGTACACTTAGCTTAAGAACTAGCAAGTGAGAAAAACAGCTGATCACATGTATTTGGTCGTTCAATAACCGAACAAAAAATTTTAATTTATCTGGTGAAACTATTAAATAAAAAGCTTTAAAATGGAAAATGTGAGTAATTATACCAGTTTATTGAGTTTATTAAATTTATTGAATTAATTCTATTGTATGAACTAGGAATCGGCCAATATTCAATTAGTACGGGAGGAATGTGTTCCTGATTCGTCGCCTACAGCCACAGTTGCTCCGGCTGAGGGATTTGCATTGCAAGTTCAGAGCATTGAAGGTATTTGTGTTTTTATAGCTGCATTTTTGAGCTTGAGCTTTAGATCATGTTTTGCACAAAGCAGGTAATGCAGATGCAAGCAGGAGAAGTGCAGCAAAAAAGAGGAAACTTATTGCCAATGCCATTATAATCATGATGGATTCGAGTTCATCTGAAAGTGATGATGACGAAGAAATTCATTTGTTGGAACAGCTTCGACCGAACGAAATTTTTTTATTTTATAACGAACGGAATCCAAGAAATTGTGTTGAGAATTATGTAGAGGAAATAGTGCCGACATACACCGAGAAAGAATTTCGAACACATTTTAAGATTTCAAGAAGCTTGGTTGAAAGCCCTAGCCAACGATTCTTGCATTCATATCACTATAAATTACTTAGGGTGGACAAAAGGCTTTCTGAAAGGGTGTACTTGCTGGTCTTTTTGTGGTTTGCAGGGCATGAGGCTTGCAGCTATAGAGATCTAGCTGATCGATTTAATCTTGCTCTGTCAGCAGTTTGTAACATAATTAATAGAGTTACAATTTTTATTAGCTCTTTGAGTAGAGACATAATTAAATGGCCCACTGATGAGGAAAAACAAAAAAGCAGCGATTTTTTAAAAAAAAAATGTTATTTATTTCATTAGAGCTTGCTGTGTTTTGCACAACATCGCAAGTGAGGATGATCTGGAATTTATTAACGAGGTAACACCAGAAACAATTGATGAAATAGTAAGCCACGGCGAAGTTTCTAAGGGAAATTATGTACGAGATCCCATAAGCCAGGAGTTACAAATTCATCGCAAAACACATAAAATTTAATTCTCATTTATTAGCTGTTTCCTACAAATTACTAAACTGATACATATTTATACAGTGAGTGTCAGTCAAAATCGTAATGAATTTGTTTCCAGATTTTGAAAATATTGTGTTTTCTTAAAATTTTTAATTATTAATAAACATATAGTTCATACAACAACAAAATCCCTAAAACACAATTAAAAAGAATCGTTGAATTTTCATGAAAATTTCACTTTTTCAGAATTTTTACAATTTTTAGAATTTTCGCTTTGTAAGTTTTTAACAAAATATTGCCCTCCTCATTTCTAATTTTTTAGAAAAAAGCGCCGCAGGCGAAAATTTGTAATAAAAAATCGGTGATTCCAAGATATATGGAAGTATTGCATTTTTTAGAAAAAAGCGCCGTAATTACTATTTAAACGAAGGTTTTCAATTGTCCAAGGTGTTTTTATTCATAACATATTTTGGTTCTAAGTAACGTAACGTAAAAAATCAATGCTAAAATGCGCATTGCCAAACAACTAAAACTAAAAGGCACTTAAACGCGAAGGAAAGCCCACGAAATTTCATGGCTTATATGTGTGTTTAACCGCTTCGATGAGTTTCTCGAAGGGATCTTGCCGATTATTTTCAATGGACTTTCTCCACAAAAATTCTACGATAATGTCTGCGAAATTGGCCGTGTTGTTGTAGTTATCTTTTTGGAAAACCCGCTTTACCACTCGCCACTGTGACTCGATACGCTGGGTATGAGTCCCATCTGGCGCCACAAAAGGGTTGTCTGGGTCGCTGTGATTCACCTTTTGGTACTCATACCCATAACTCGGTAAGCAATCGTACGCCTTCCAGAAGTCCGTACGAATGGTAGTGCTTTCAGCAACGTGCTTCTGGATTAGGGGTATTAGCACCTCCGTCGATCGCACATTATCCGGACACTCTTCGAGCCTGATGTCCTCGCTCCCGTCCTCTATCATTCCGAGGACCCAGTGACCCTCGACCCTCCTCCCTAAAAGGTAAGAAAAAATAAAATGAGTATCCTGTTTAATAGATAAAAGTCAAATTCAAATTACCTTTGTTGAACTTTCTCTTTCCAAATTTACTTCCGTCAATTTGAACTATTTTCCCGGGCCCTCCAATTTTTGCGCCATGCTCCTCCTTTTCGAGTTGGTAATAAACCACTTCCTCCCAACAGTAGTTATACCAGTCGGTTATTTTCCTGCTTGACAAGCAGGGGCCCTCGACATAGTTTTCAAGTTTAACTTGGGATTGCGTATAGTGCCCCGAATAGCAATGCATCATATAAAATATATGGGGCAGTGATATTTTGGCGTTCTCGAACCAAGTTCCCTTGGCTCTCGATACGCTCGACTTGGTTCGGCATGGGCCCTTCCGGCAACGAAAGCTGCCTAAATCGGCGCTCCCCATGCCATATATCGCCATAGGGGTTCTGTGGGTTGTACATAGTTTCGTCCGCAGCATCAAGCCGTTTTGCTCGGAAAATGCGATGCACTGCTCAACCGTACGCAACTTGTCGCGAACCTTATAGCTGGCCCACATATTTTTAATTTGCAGCGCGGGTAATTTGTTGCCTCTTGCTGCACCAGTGCTTGTTGATGGTACATCTGAATCTGTAAATATAATCTGTAATGCTTGTAAATTAAGATAAATATAATAGAACTTACCGTAATCCGTATCACTCATTTTTAAACAAATATATTTAATTAACAAAAGAAATGAAATACCCGAAAGATAGCTATGCCGCTTTTGTGGAAATGGAAAACAACGGCAAGTTAAATAGAATGAGCGTCGTTATTGGTTGCCACTTGAATAAAATTTACGACTGCGTTTAAACGGCGCCGCCATCTACGTTTTGTATTCGTTTAAATCGCCCGACTAAATATTTCAAAATGCACTATATACATTAAAATATATTTTTACCATAATATTAATATATATATCACCGATTTAAAAGAAACTCTTAAATATATGTGCATAACTAAGACCGTGAAATTAATATTTTCCTTTTACAATCACAAAGTATTTTTGGCTAAAAAGAACTATTAACATTTTCAACGATGTGGCACCTCATTCATGGCGGCCATCGCTGAACAATTGTATGTTTACGATTCTTTGAGAATAGAAAAATATTTTAAGAACACTTTTATAAGCATTAATGGCTAAATTCTTAGTAATAAAAAGATGTGCATCCATTTGTTTATGAAGAACAGATGGTGTATTAATAAAGAGAAAAGTTATTAGTGCAGTGTTTATAAAAAAATAACTGTGAAGCAGTGGGAAATTTTAACAACGAATAACTTAAAAACTATTAGCATTGGTACACAAAATATTGATGATATCCGTCAATGAGCACCTCCTCAACACCCCCTGCGAATTTCATTAAAAAATTCGTAATACTTTGGGTGATATAGGAAATGGTCCATTATAGGAAATCTCAGCCATAAAGTCTAGCAGCCCACTAGCACTTTTCGGAAAGTCGCAAAAAAGGGGTAATTGACAAAAAAAGGGTCACCATATTATGTTTACTTTTCTTTACCATTCAAAAAAATCTGAGATCCCAAGTCAAAATCAAATTTACATGTATTATAAAGTATTTTCGTGGTGCATCTTTTCCTACTTTCAGGAGGAAATATTTTTTAATAGCATGGCCCTAAAACAAAATCTCTGAAAAGGGGCAAAAGTCGCACATAATTTTGAAAAAGGGTCAAAAAATCAAAATACTCAAAATTCCTCACCCGTCATGGTTACTTCCGAGAATATCTTCATAGAATGGGAAGGGTGGACTCACCATTCTGTCACTACTGTGGAAACGTCGAAGATAACGTGTACCATACATTCTTCACCTGCGAAGACTTCTATTTTCGCGCAGAATTTTGGAAGAAAGATACAGAGACATAACTCCGAACAACATAAATGGGGTAATTATCTCCTGTGCAGAAAAGTGGGAAGCAGTTGCGAGATACGTGAAATTCGTACTCCGCTGCAAACGAGAGGGCGGTTGGCTACTGAGGACACCCGAATGAAACGCCCCTACAAAAGAGCAGCCCCAAGGCTCTAGCAGCGCGCTCCTGCATCTGAAGACATGCAGAATTGCGGTGCCAGATGCGGGATTCCTGCGCGGGCGGTGGGAGTTTGGGTTTTAGTGGGTAGCCCAACACAATGAAATTATTAAAGAAACAACAAATACAAATGTAATAGATGTAGATGTTCTCGAGGAAGAATGCAGCGCATTCAGAAAGAGCAGTAGAGTTGTGCGCTTCCCGCCACAAACCCCTCTGCAGGCAAAAGCCGGCACCACCAGCACGGAGAAAGCCGTCGACGTGGTGCAGAAGGGTACACCTTTGCAAACGAGAACTCCCGTCGGCCGGGATGGTGGTCATCAAACGCCAGCTGCTGCAAACAGGGACAAGCGTGCCACCGCAGGCTTTGGAACTTGCGAAGGCAATGAAGATGAGCAATTGGCCCAGATTCGGCTCGTCTTGAAGAAGATGCAGAGTGCTGTCTCCAAGCAGAAGAATGTGTCCATGGACATAAAAACGGGTATGGCCCAAATCGAGGAGAGCTTAAATATACTAAGCCACCTCCGAGAGCAGAGCCGCAAAAGAGAGGTCGAACTCGATCCGACTCCCCTACAGGCGAGCCGGAAAAGAAAAAAATAATAACTATAATAATAATCGTAGTAATAATATTATTATTAATAATGGTAATAAAAATAATGGTAATAACGACAATAATGCACAGAAAACCGTACCAGATAATCAATGGAAAACGATTGGAAAAGGCAGAAAGCCCAAGCTAGGGCCAGAGCCAGGTGAACCTTTGGTCAGTATGGGCGAGGCGACTAGCCGCAAAAAAGAAGAGGGCGAGAGAAAACAAGAGTCTCGCCCAACTAATTGGTAAGCCAGCTGAGGGTAAAATCTATGCAGAGGTGCTGGGAACGATACGTGGTAAGCTCCAACCTGAGAAGACGGAGACCGTAATTCTATCTGTTCGGAAAACCCACGAAGGTGGCGTGCTTATCGAAAAGGAGCGTTGTGGCGACCACTCAGCATTTAAGGAAAATGTGTGCACTGCTTGGAGATGCCCGTATTTTCACTAGACGTTTACGTCTAGAAGTTCTGGGCATGGACTGCCTAACCACGGCCCCAGAAGTGGGGAAGACTATACGCGGGGAATTAGGAGACAAGATGAATGGGCAACTTCGCGTCTCTCTCCTCGCTGTAAACTCGCGAGAACAAAGAATGGCCGTGGTGGAAATCGACGAACTGCCAGGCCGGCCTTTTATTGAAAAGGGGAAGCTGCGAGTAGGTTGGATTATCTGCCGTGTCCGAGAGCGCGCGGATGTCCAAAGGTGTTTCCGCTGTCTGGGTTATGGCCACAAAAAGGCGGCATGCAAAGACCCAGACAGAAGCAGTTCATGCTGGAAATGTGGTCAGCAGGGCCATATAGCCTCTGCATGTAAAGAAAGCCCAAGCTGCTACCTGTGCTCGGCAGGAGATGGACAGAAAAATGCCAATCACCTGCCCTGGTCGGGAGCGTGCAAGGCCTTCAGGGAAGCCCCTGCTGAGGCTAAGACAAAGCTTGGGAGAATATAATTATATTTATACAAGGCAATATGAACAGGAGTAGGGTAGCTGATGACCTGCTGGACCAATTGGTTCTTGAACAAAGAGCGGACGCCGTTATCATCAGTGAACCCTATAGAACAAAGGAAACCTGGCATGTTGACCAATCAGGCTCGGCCGCGATATGGATTGCTAACCTCAACCATCGCGCAGAGAGCAGCGGAGTCGGACGCTGCTACGTGTGGGTGAAAATGGCGCAAATCACTCGGGTGAGCTGCTACCCGTCTCCAAACGACGCAGTCCTTGTCTTCAGGGAAAAGCTCGAAGACCTTGAAGACGAATTGCGCGATATAACCGGCCACATATTTGTTGCTGGAAAGGCGTGGCGCTGCGGGGATTTTTCCTAAAAAATCCAGTCCTTCCATATATCTTGAAAATTAAAAAAAAAGTCGCGCGATTTTTTATTACAAACTTTCGCCTGCGGCGCTTTTTTATAAAAAATCCAATACTTCCATATATCTTGAAAATTTTTAATAAAAAATCGCGCGGTTTTTTATTACAATTTTTCGCCTGCGGCGCTTTTTTCTAAAAAATCCAATACTTCCATATATCTTGAAAATTTTCACCTTTTTTATCAATTCTTCCATATATAGTGAAAATATCCAATTAAAAAGCTATAACATATATGTACATGTCCACTTTATGTTTTATGTTTTCATTGATTCCCTTTTCAGTACTTTTTTTACACATTTTTTGTGGTGTGTGGCAGCGCCGCAATTTCAGTTCACTCGATGTACAAAGGAAAATGTGAGGTTAAATTTCACTTTTTTTACAACTTTAACAACGAATTACTTGAAAACTATAAGCCTCCGAAGGGGGGTTTCAGATTTAGAATCACAAAACCCGCTCTAAGCCCCCTCATTTTTTTTCAAAGCCTGGTCTGTTATTGGAAAATTTTCCCGACTTTATATATCTTTTATGACTGTCACCGCGAAATTAGCAGTGAGGGCCGGTTTCTCCTTTGTACCCTTCCATACGAAATTTTGTGCCAAGTTGTCCGTTAATATAGCCCTCTTGGCAGATCGTAGAAAAGTGGCAACATCGGGTCCAGCAAGCCGTAACAAATAAATTTTCTGTAAAAAAATAATTGAGACAATACATACATATGCATATCAGTCCTTTATTAAAAGTTGCATAAGTCCAATTTCGGAAAAAAAATTTTTAACGTTAATTAAAGTAAAATACAGAAACCCTCTTTTTATATTTGTAATCATACATTTATAGAAGCAAGACTTCGTTGATAAAGTAATCGGAAGAAATTTAGCTATAACGTCATTGAAATGCAATGGGAAGTTGTTATTCCATTAACTATTTTTTCCAAAAATGGACTTATACTTACAAAAAACGACTCAAAATTATTGAAACTATTTTTTAATAAACTAGATTATTCAATTTCAGTGGTATAAGTCCATTCAGAGCTAAAATTTCTTTTATTTTCTTTAACAATTTCTATAATTATTATTGCATAATTAAATTTAACAGGCATTGGTTAATGTTTGCCAATATTTTTAAATCAATTCAGATACAAAGCCTTAAATAATGCAACATATGAAAAAATGGACTTATACCACTTTCAAAAATAATACGCATACTATGCGTTTTTTACTTACTAATTAATTTAAGACCGGTTCCTTATCCACTAGTTCCTTAAAAAACTTGTCAAAGGCGTATTTCTCATTGAAGGGCATAACAGGAAAGCGCGAAGATTCTGAAATGGCGGGCTGGGTGTTCTTCAGTTGACGAACCTCATTTCTTAAAGACACAACCTCTTCAGATAAATTGGTAATAACTCTTCTTAGGGATTTAACTTCGGATTATATGAAATTAATTAAGCCTTGGTCTGAAAAGGATGCTGAGCTTCCAATTCGTTTGATGCATCTGGGTCTGAAGAAAACAATCAATCTGTTTTACAATAGTGGTACATATTTACCAAAGTGAACAAGTGGTCTGGCAAAGGAGTAGATCAGCTCAAGCAACGACTGTTGTCAACTGTTTGCAAAGCTTCAGAAAGTTTTCTTATGTTCCACGAAGGTAGCGAATATTCATCCCCCCTTGTTT